GCCCCCCGGTTCCTATGCCCCTGCCTTTGTTGCTTTGGGCTGGTGAATAGGAGTTAAAAATATTGGTAAACGCAATCAATCGTTCATCGTTGTCAGCACAGCCATTCTTGTACGAGTAAGTTTTGTGCATTCAAAACCAATCAGAATAGGAACTATTTGTCTGGGCATTTGCGTTACAATTTGCACAAAAACCGTTCAGTTAGCAAATATTGTCATTGATATCACAGTCGAAATCATTAGTTCATTATAAATGTGCATATATGACGCGATATCTCAATCGCGGGTGCAGAGCGTGGGATCTGGTATAGTGTAACTGGTGTATAGACTACTGGTATAAGGCTACAGTATGAACTGCGCGTGGTATGTCACAAAGTCACAAACCACGGCAGCTTATTGTAGAAGACTGGACCACCAGTATGGACACAAAACACGGTATAGCTTATTGTAGAATACTACCGACACTGGACCACCACGTTTGAGATAACTTTTTCAGGTAGTTCAAACACAAACCACGACAACTTATTGTAGAATACTACCTACACTGGACCACCACGTTTGAGATATCTTTTTCATGTGGTTCAGACACAAACCACGACAGCTTATTGTAGAATACTACCTACACTGGACCACCACGTTTGAGATATCTTTCTCAGGTAGTTCAGACACAAACCACGACAGCTTATTGTAGAATACTACCTACATTTGACCATGTACCGCGTTTGAGATATCTTTTTCATGTAGTTCAGACACAAACCACGACAGCTTATTGTAGAATACTACCTACACTGGACCACCACGTTTGAGATATCTTCTTCAGGTAGTTCAGACACAAACCACGACAGCTTATTGTAGAATACTACCTACACTGGACCACCACGTTTGTGATATCTTTTTCAAGTAGTTCAGACATGACAGCGTCATATTTTCTTAGTATAAAAGATTTTGCGTATGCTGTTGACGTTTGAATCATGCAGAATATCATGCATAGAAAACTCGCTGGATCGATAATTCGTTCAAAATTTAAGTTGCGTGTCTGATGATGAACTCATATAATTAAAGACTTCCTTTGTTTTGATAATTCTGTTATAAGCACAGTATTGTACGTATAGAACCTCCTTCAAAATCATCAAGTATTGTCATTATTCATCGTACGTGATCCATTTTTTCTTATTTTTTCTAGCTCTTTCGCCAAATACGTTGAACAGGCTTGTAGCAGAACAGGCAAAATCACACGAAGCTATTGAAGTAAGTACTGGCATATATTTTTCGAGTTCTTTTCGTCGTGCCTCGCTTAAGATTTAGGAAATTTATCATAATTCATAAATATAAACGCTGTTATGGATGCGTTGTGATTTAGGCATGGGTGAAAGCTCAGATATTAAACTAATTGATATCTTGTTAGACTATGAGAGTTCAATGTTTACGTGAGTCTATAAGCTGACCCAAATATTGTTGATTTACAATCGATGGGGCACAATATATCGCAAATTAAGACAAAGTTAAGACGTCCTGGATATTTTTCCCCCCCCCCCCTTCTTTCCCTTCTCAGTGGGCCTGGTTGCATTTGCACCAACAGGGATTCTGTAGTGTAGACATCAAAGCAAGCACCTTTCACCTGTGAGATTGTTGGGTTTGATTCACACTACGGACTCATGTGATAAGAGTCGGTCAACCCTCCAGATGCTGAAAGTTGTAGCTTTTCTCCAGACAGGGTGGGTTAGGATAAACACAGTTAAGAAACTAATATCACAATTGTTGTAAAGACAAATAGTCTAGGCTAAGCAAGTAACATAAGTAAGTGTAATGAGTCGTTCCAGAAAAGATCCACACTCCTCCCACAGAGGAAATTTCTGCCGTCCAGAGGGGGAGGGAAGACAAAATTGTTTCTGATAATAGTAAATGTATTAGGACATCCAAAGGGGGTAGGGGGGTTAACTTCCTATATCCTCTGTGGGGGTGGTATGGATGTTTTCCGGAATGACCCATTACTTGATGTAATCGGTCACAGAAAAGCGCCAATGGAGAGTGAGCTGAATAACAATGTAATGTAAAAATGCAATGTAACATAAAGCCTTCTTGTTCTATTATTTAGAAAGAGGGATATTCCTTTACCCGCATATGATGCGAAAAATCTTGAAGATTATGTCAGTTTGAAAGAACCCAAATCATTAACAGACTTTTTACACTGTTTCAGCCATTTTTTGCCAGTTTTGCGGTAAGTCCTTAGTATTTAGATCACTTGATGTTTTCATAAATGTTTTAGCAAATTTGAACTGCTTGTGGTCTTTTTTCTTTCTACAGATCTAGACTGCATACCGGTAACTGTGCATTACTTTTGGTCATTGTTGGTCACTTTCACAGACAATACAATGTCATGTATTTCCTTTCAAAAATAGTTGAAGGGTGTTCTAGCACCTGTAGATGGAAATTATTGAGTGGAAATTTATATACATTTATTAGACTTAACCAGGAACAGCTATGAAAAATGCAATTTTAGGTTCCTGGTAGGAATTGAACCAGCATGCAGCCCTAAATCTAAATAATTATATACATATAAATTTCCACGCAATAATTTCCCTTTAAAAATACACTGTTTAATTAATAACAAGACAAAATTTTAATGGTGCACAGGGACTAGCTCCAAAGAGTGTATTTCAAACTTCTATAAATCATTGTTGAAGAGTGTTCTATTGACAAGTAAACCAGTAGTTGACTAGAGCATTACACTGTATACATACATAGTTAAACTCATCTTAACAGATTTTCTGCAATTTTGCTCGACGTATAATTTTACATGCGGTTATTGCGCTTATTTGTGTTTTTTCTACATATGTAATCCTGTAACATATACTTGTTTGTAGTGGTGACCCAGAAGCATTGGAAAGAATAGCTTATGAATTTTGTGAAGACATAGCGAACAATGGCGTGCTGTATTGTGAAACTCGATACTGTCCGCATCTTCTCGCCAATTGCGGAGTGGATGGAGTCCAGTGTAATGGCAGCACAGAACAGAATTGTTCGCCAAGGAAAGTGGTTGAAAGTGTGTGTAAGGGTATAGAACGAGGGTGCAAAGATTTTGGCGTTAAAGTGCGGACTATTTTATGCTGTATGAGACACAGGCCAGGTAAACATCAATCAGTCAGTCAATCAAATGAATGAATAAATCAATTAATCAAGCAATTAATCAAGCAATTAGTTAATCAGGCATATATTGAATCAGTAAAACATCCATTAACCAATGGAGCATCAGCATTTCCCTCTTGAGTCATCTGGCATTGGATATTGTTGGTGCATTATTATTATTAGTGAGTTAAGTAGACACATGCATGGTAGTACGATTAACCCATTGAGCACCAGTGCTCTCCCCTTAACAAGTAAAACCGTCTGGTGTTAGATTAATATTAGGTTAAGTGACTGTTTTTTTCTTTATATTTGTCAAAAGATTGGTCCCTAGAGATGGTAGATCTTTGTGAAGAATTTAGGAATCACAATGTTGTTGGCCTGGACATCGCGGGTGACGAGAGTATGGGTGAGATCCCGGCAATTAAAGAACATATTATGGCTTTTCAGGTGAGCTGGCCCAAAAGTTAGAAATTGAATAATGGCTTGGACACTCTTTAGGTTGCATTCTAAAATAATGTATACTGTAGTTAGGTAGTTGAATTTGCTTTTCAATCACATTCTGCGTATTCTGCGTTACAAAAGTGCAACAGTTCAGTAAGTTAACCTTGTTACAATAAACAAATATTTTGCTACAGAGAGCACAAGAACTTGGCATCCCAAGAACAGTTCATGCTGGCGAGGCTGGTCCTGCCGCCAGTGTACATGAAGTAAGCAAAAGACACTGTTCTACACTACCAATTTAGTTGATATTATGAGTGTGTTAAATAATATATACAGTACCATAATCCAATTATATAAGCATGCTCATACACATACCAAAATTCAGTATGCTCATGACTCCAGTATGCCCATGACTCCAGTATGCCCATGAGCATTCTCATATACTGTAAAACTCATATACCAAAATCTAGTATGGTCATAAGCATGCTCATATACAGTACGTACCAAAATCCAGGATACTCATCAAGCTTAAATTACATTCATTTAGACCAGACTTTTTCTCTTTTCTAGGCTATCTTTCTTTTACACGCCAATCGTATTGGTCATGGCTATCACGTTCTACAGGATCCCGAGTTGTATAAACTAGTGATTGAGAAGCAAATTCATTTAGAAGTACGTGAAAATGGTTTTTGTGGATGGAAATTGACAATTTTTAGACGTAACCAGGAACAGTTGCGAAAAACGCAGCTATACTGTAGGTGTCTCTGACAGGAATGGAACCTACGCTACCGGTGCAGCGCTCTAACAAAATAAGCTATATACAGCAGGGCTGCAAATAAATATTTGACAGGACATTTGTCCGATCACTTTTAATTTTGGTCGGACATAACTTGAATTTGGTCAGACAAAAACCAATATCACTAAATTTGGTCGATATAAGTCACGAGACAAGTATGTATAGCCATTCCGGCGAACGTTAAGTAAAATGCTAGAATGCCTCGTAAATTTTATTGCAAAATGCAAATTGAGTGAATTTGCAATCGGATTTTGTCACAACAAAAAAACGTATGTGACAATTTTTTTGTGATCAGACCAATGTCCGATCAAAATTACTTTTGCTCGGATATTTGCCAAATTTAGTCGGACATCGTCCGATGTCCGACAGTAATTTGCAGCCCTGTACAGAGAGACAGTTGACAAACATTAACCATGTACATGTACATAGTTCTTGTGGTCAGAGCTCGACAACTGGCCTCTGCAGCTCAGTTGGTTAGAGCTCGACAACTGTCTCTCTGTAGTTCAGTTGGTTAGAGCTTGACAACTGTCTCTCTGTAGCTCAGTTGGTTAGACCTCGACAACTGTCTCTCTGTAGCTCAGTTGGTTAGAGCTCGACAACTGGCCTCTGCAGCTCAGTTGGTTAGAGCTCGACAACTGTCTCTCTGTAGCTCAGTTGGTTAGAGCTTGACAACTGTCTCTC